ACAGTGCTAAATCTCAACTCAMATGTGCCAGCCTTCTTGTTGGAAAGAAAAGATATTATCTTGGTTGCAGCTTTCTTATTTTGCATGAGTGCATCTGGCAGCCATCATCTGCTGGACTAGCAGCCATAATTGGGTCCTGGGGCCATCCCATGTCTGTGCAACTTATTCACCTGTGGATTCCTGAAGGGACACTACAGCTCAAATGCATTCCCCATGCAGTTACTGCAATCATGCCCTGGGTGCATCTGGCTCAAGCTGCACAGTATGTGTACTCAGATTGCAAAAGATATCTCCTATCTATTCCCAAACACGCTCTCCATAAGCCTCARTTTAATACTTTTTCCTTTTCCCAGCTGAATCTCGGTGTGCACCTTGAATAATACATGTAAGGTTTTGATTGACGTTGAGTCTGAAGCATTTAGCTATCTTGATGTCTTGTCAAGTCATCCCTTGATAAAAGCATTTGAGGTGCCACAAAATGTAATCACTTTGCAGCAGCATTCTACATTGCAGATGCAAGTTTCTCTGCACATTTTTCAGCTAAGGATCTTTGGCACTGTCGATAGATCTGTTCCATGGGCGATTTTGGATGGATCTATTAATAWTGCCTCTAAGAGTAATAAGTCCTGCTCTTTTACAAAGTGAATCATCTATCTCTCAAGTGGACAAGTGAAATTCTCCGTCTCTGGACTTGTAGTCCACAAGTTGGCAGGGTTTTCTGTTTGGTTAATAGTCTTCATACAGCAGTGAAGTCATTTCAAAAATAGTTCAGCCCTGTTTTGGGGCCAAGTTGTATGTCTTTTGGTTATTTGTTCTTCTAGACAGGCCATGTCACCATTAGTCATACTTCAGAATGATGGTTTACTTTCATTATTCACTGCCTGCACTGCTTCCGATTCAGTGCTTTCCAACTCAGCAAGATTTTCCTGTACTAATTCATCTGAATCATTGCTAGAAGAGTTTATATCAAAGGACACATTCTCAATGTTAATAAAGTACAGGGGCTTTGAAAGAGCTTGCAGTGCCAATTCTTTAAAAATGAGCTTTTTAAAGGTGTTTATGCTATGTTTGTGAACACAGTATGCCTCAGTAGAAGGTCTAAAGATGATTTATAGCCATTCCCTCTTTATTTATGTTCTATTCTGGATATCTAGTGCACATTTGCTCTGGGATGAGAACTGGGCTAAGCTGGTTCTATACTGAATATTGGGGCTAGTTAAATAAAACTGTGAGACCCCGGCAAGGTTTAGGATGTGGTTGTCAGACAGCACCAATCATAAGGCTCTCTAAGCCCAGTCTGGTATGTGCTAAGTGACTCCTATGCCTGGTGAGGATGACCATGATCTCACGGTGTGGCCCCCTGCTCCTGCCTGCAATCGTGGCAGTCAGCAGTAAGTCACGGTGTGCTCTTGGTAGGGCTCAAACCATTCATGGGCTGTGATGGAGGCCTCACCCTGGGACTGTCGTCACTTGTGTGCTTGTTGGGAACACACAGACATCCTCATTCTTGCACTATGATGTCGATACATCTGTATGTACACCTGGCTCCACGCATCTCCTTTTTATTTGCAGTGCTCAGTGCAGATGCTTGATCTCACCGGTTGTTTTTCTGAATGGGTGTGTTGGACGGCTCCTCAATTTGACTGCTATTTCTGACAGATATGTGAGTCTATCTTGTTTCGGCTAATACATCCCTGGGTCATCAGTCTCTTTGTATTAGCAGTGGAATGCAAAATTTAAAGGTTTAAGAGTGAGTTAAGCAGAAATGTAACCACTCACAGCATCTGGTGCATCCTACTTCACTGAAGTCATCTGAAGACCTAAAAATAAAAAAAGAAAGAAAGAAAAAAGAAAACACACACACTTTGGAATCCAGGATAAAATCATAAAATAAAATTTACTGAGTGCTCTGTGGAAAAATCTAAAGGAGTTGGCCAAAACTTGCTTGCAGTGAGGGGGGAGTATTTTGGCAACTGGAAAAAAAAATTAAAAAATTGTTTTGCTTTGGAAATAAAAGGTTGTTCAACAAATCAAGTACAACAGAAATGTTGTTCTTTTTAAAATTTTCCAAAGAACTCTCATAGGAATTGCCAAGGGTATATTCAGACACAGTTTCTTCACTGAGGGCCACAAAGACCCTTAGAACTGATACAGTGCCAACTTCACCTCAGTGAAGGTCATCTCCCTTGACTTTCTTATGAGTCAATGAAGAGAAATCAGATGGCATACCTAGTAGCCCAGTTGCAACTGTTTATTAGTATAGACTCAAGACTATTCAGATTGTTTTAAGGATGTTCTTAAAAAAAGTTGGGTATTGGGTAGGGTAATTCAGACTTTCTGTGAAGCTGCCAAGTTTCTTCTCTCGGTGAGCAATGGAGGGATCTGTGTGTCTGTCAGAATATGTGAAATATTTATTCTGAATACTTGGACAAGTTTGTCTTGGATTTGGAGGTTTCTCTTGATATTTGGCGCCTTGAGCTTTATGTGTGCTTGCGGGTGGGTGGTCTGCATGGCTCAAAGCCTGCTCAGCCCCATGTTTTAAAGGCTCTGAACATGGACCTTTGTCTTCACTGTTGCAGCCCAGCTTTAGAGGACTTGGTGTTTCCATTTGCCAATAGTTGGAAATACACCCGCTTGCTCTCCTCCTTTCCCCGTGCACACCGCTGCCTGCGACCGGGCATTGCTCTTTTCCTCCTCCCTGGGTGGCAGGGCTGACATCTCCGTGCCCCAGGATTACTGATCGCGCGTGTAGCTGCTCAGCCCCCTTGCAGCTCGCCAAACCAGTACAAAGCTCTGGGCTTTCAGCCAATTTACTCACAGGKTTATCATATGCTGACATTGTTTCTCTATAAATAGGTCTACCTTTACTGACATTATTGATTCAGCTGCCTCTTTTCTCACTAATACTCTTTCTAATGTATCCAACCTGCCTTGGTATTTCCCCTAATGAAAGGCTGAAGTCAGAGGGGTAGAGGTCAAGGAGGGTAAATCGCAAGTGGAAAGGTCCTGGGTTTTGAGGCGGCGTTTTCTAGGTGAGAGCCACGATCTTGTCAGCAGAGCAGAGCTCAGCTCTGGGCTCTCTCCCTGCTGAAGGAAAACAATCCATCAAGCTACTTTCACATTTTATTAATAATGATGAGGATGWAACCGTGTTTTGCAAAGCCCTCTATCTCAGTCACTTGTAGACTACCACTGATAACATAAACACTGTCTGTGCACCTCACATCGTGCGATTTTGAAAACAGGGGGGACAAAATTTCCCTTGTGGATACAAAACATGGCAGATGATGTTTGTCTCGAAGTTAACCACAGTTAACAGGCCAAAGTTGTACTTCTCATTGCCACAGAATTAGGCCACTTGTATCTTTTTATTTCTTCAGGACTTTTTTGTAGCTGAGAGGGCCGTGCCCGGCCRTGTCCTGTGTGGAGGCAGGGCCGCCATGGGGCCTGCGCGGCCTCCACACCCGTCCACGTGCCTTGCCTCGGGGGTGTCGCCWTTGGAGAGGCCCTGAGGGCTCCACAATGGCCGTGAGCTGGTCAAGGCGCTGAGGGCTGGCTCTGGGCTTACTGAGAGTTTGCATGGGGACGGCAGGCTGTGACTTTGGCTAATGACAACAAGTTGTTGTTTAGCAAACCCTCTGGTAAGCCATGCTGGTTTTTAAATACATTTCTTAGCACATAAATGGCGCATAAAGGGTGTCCTGGTTAAAGACAAGTTGTCCCACTGCCAGGAGAAGCATCAAAGAAGGAAGGACTTTTCTTCTTCAGTGATCAGAGCAGACACTCTTGTTGGAAGAAGCAGCTGCAGAGTCCGTGGTGGTTGAGGAGAGCCCCATAGCGAGGACTACAGCAGTTGTCCTGCCGGGAGCCTGCGGCACCAGCAGGTTGTCTGGGGGCCCTGTGTTTTGGCTGGGCCCCTGTGTCCCAAGGACGTGCTCAGCACCACGTGAGATTTTGGCCAAGCTGAGGCCTTGTGTTGTTTTCTTCTCTTGCTGACGTGCGGGTGCTGGACGCATGGACGCGCTGGCAGCACCCTGGCCTCGTGGCTGCCAAGTGTCCTCAGCGGGGCAGGACAGCCAAATTAAGCACTGGGATCTGGCAAGGGACGCTCCCGAGGCTGCCAGATTAATAGGCCATTAAATGCTGCACTCAAACCAAACAAGGGCCCCTGCCCCTTACAAAAATATAGGAGACTCAGAAAACTTTTCACATCATTGTTTAAAGTTTATGCTATCACTGGCTTCAGAAATGCTGCCATTAGCCTGGGAATTAATCAGAGATTTTCATTTACTCCTTGTTCTGAACTATAACGGGCCCTTTAACAGTATAAATAAAAAGATCTAAGGATTCAATAAACTATAATGTCACAAATGGCAATCGTCTACCATGCAAGGCCCCTGCGTAAAAAGGCATCTCACAGCTGGTACAAATGCTTCTGTATAACATTGTAAATAACCTCTAAGCCCACTACTAATTAAACTGAAACTTCACCTCTCTTGGGCATTGCATGTATGAACCAATTAAGAAAATATCATTTCTTCTGAGAGACCTGTACTATCCCTCTTAAAAAAAAAAAAAAAAAAAAAAAAAAAGAAAAGAGGGATGGGGGAGAGAGAAAGTAAGAGAAATAAGGAGAGAAAAAAAGGAAAAAAGAGTTTCAAAGAAGGGACCACACTGATGCACAGGGGTTACAATAATGAGCCATTTCTGCTTTAAGCAAATTTTGCACCTGTAACCTGCAGAAATATAGCCATAGCACTTGAAAAATTACTTCAATGCTGCACAGTGCCATGAAAATTTATCTTTGAGATGATTTTATTGCATGGTTACCCTAGGCAATTAAATCAATAAATCTTAACTGTCAGAAAGGTTGGCCTGCTGCCAGAAATAAATGAAATGCACGGAATCAGTAAATAAAAGGTTTCTGACAACTCATTCTAGGAATTATTTAGCWGTTGCCTTTTTGTTGGTGTCGGTGACGGTGTTGCTTTTGTCTGCAGCATTTATTGACGTCCTCGCTGAGAACTGACATGAACAGCGCAGCCTGAGACGCAGACAGCTCTGCAAGCAGGGCCGGCTCCTCAGGGTAATAAATGACCCCGGCACCATGGGTGAACAGGAGCTTTGGGGGCTGCTCAGACAGYGCTGGTGAGTGTGATGATTAGCAAACTGGGTTTTGAGCCATGGGCCAGCAGTGTATGGGACGTTCAAAAGCAAAATATGGGTGTTTTGTGTGCTTCATTATTAAAAGAGATATTTTAATTGGGGGGAAGATTAAGACYGAAATGCCTCATTGAGACAAGGAGGTCACGTTTCTTTAGGCCAAGAGTGTCCAGTGATGACCACAGGAGATGCCAGCTTTGACAGTGGAAGCCTACATATGCCTGTGTAAACCCAATATAATCAATAGAGCTGCATTATTTTTTTCATGTTGGTGCAACAAATCTGGAGGCCAGAGTCTGATTCTGCTTTCCCTGGTGTTTGTCAGGTTAAGCTAGTGTGAAATACCTTAGCATTAGCCTCYGAATCTGGCTGAGAAGCTGCAGATGTGAGGGCACTTTACCTGGTTAATAAAGCCATAGATTTTTAAAGCCCTTATGCTCATGTAGTCTGACTTCCTGACTATCAACAGCCCACTAAATTTAAACTGGGTTTCAAGGGCAGCTTTCCCGGCTGCCAGGGCAGGTCCTTTAGCGGTAGCGCGGCAGGCAGGCCTGCCTGGGTAGTCCCTGCCGTGGCAGCCCAGGAGCTCCCTGAGCAGTACCCACACCGTGGTGGGTGTTCACGAGCCCAGGGCTACCCTTAGCCCAAGGAACTGCTGCCACATTTTGGTGCAGCAGGAGTTTTATAACCCTGATTGGCAAGCGGCGTCTCATTGCGGATAATTCTCTGCCCGCACATCCTGAACGCACAGGTGATTGCTCCTAAACTGATGGCTTGATGCACAATAACAGCCTTTTTATTTAGTTCCTGCTTGGTAGGCAGAGAATGCCCAGTTGCCAAAAAAAAAAAAAAAAA